GTATCGCACGCTTAATAATTAATTGTTGAAAAATTGTGTAATCTTTATTGATACTACTGTATTAAATTATGTATTGTAAACCCGGCAAAAATGCTGTGTGATTACCTAAATAAAGTAAAATTAAAAAAAGTAAAAATCTCTAACAGTCCCATACAAAACATATACATGTTTAAAACAAGCCACGCTGCAGCTATTATGGGTAGTAAGATCGACAATCCGCCTCCCAAGCGTGATGATAAAGGCAAAAGAGGCCATGTCCATCAGTAGACTTTACGGGTTGATGATAATGATGATGATATATGTTTATATATTCTCAGTTTTTTCACCTTGTGGTTAGTAGATGCTGTGGCCCATAGATTTTTACATTTATCCTCAATTAAGAATGAAAAAGCAGATGCTTTGCCACTCCAGAGGACTAAGATAAAATGCCTCGTTTCCCGTAAAAAAGGGTCGCCGGATCTGAACACTCACCATACGATACACAGCATCATTAAGCTGCTATTTTACGCTGGTATTCAGCGAGAGCGTCGTCCTTCCCCGGTCGAGCCGCCCCATTCGTACTACAACCATAATATAGCTGCAGCGTGGCTTTACCACGTATTACTATTTTTGTTCTAAAACGAAAATTTTTAGCAGTCATACAGCTTACATTTTTCCATACGGAAATGCCTAAGCATACTCGCCTCGCGGGGACAATGAAGCCAGAGCCGCGGGCACGCTTTCGTACACATCCGCAGCCACATCAGCGATGGCCGCCGACATGGGACCCTCCTCTGGAGAGAACCACAGATTACCTAGTCGTACAGTCTGCCATGGATGTTAGACCTGTCGACCGTTAGCTGTTACTTAGTTATTAAAATACCCATTGGACCGTAATACATCATCAACAAATTTCTAACGAAATAAAAATATTGATCTATCTCTTTTTTGTCTTTTATTCATGAAACTATTCGGGGCATTTTTATGAATCTTTACGAATTAAAGGACACAGAAACTATTTACGGCCATTTAAGTGGGTTTAGTTCAAAGGTCAAAGGAAAAAGTTAAGCTCCAATTTTTTTTAATTTCTTAGATATTTCTCTAGTACGTTTTTTAATTTTCCTGTTGAGGACCAACCCAGTGGTAAACCATCAGTTAAAATTATGATTTTAGTGGTACAGGTGGGAATCGAACTCGGGGTGTTAGCTTACTATGGAATTTTAAGGTCTATGTCTAACCTCTCAGCTATAACGACTTAAAACTCGGCTTGACGCTTTTTTAATCTAAAATAACTTATCACAAAAATAAATATAATCTAATATGTGTATAAAAATTAATATTTGTTTGTTCGTATTGTGCGCTACCATACCGTTCATCACATAACGGTAAAACTTCTCAACGTATTGTTTGCACTTCCGCGAAGGCTATAGGCATACTTGGACCCGGTAGGTGGCGCTGTAGTAGCGCGGTGGTGTTGTAGACTCCAAACATCACACGTGCGAAGGGGCAGATCGATAGTATAAAACAAATGTTAAGTGAATTAAACTGCGACATAACGAGAGATCAAAATAAATGATCTTAATATTTGTTCTGTTTGATTTACTTTTTACTGTCGTGTGATAAATAGTGTTAAAAGAATAGAAAGAATTAATTTGGGAGTCTAAAGTCTATAAACCCAAAACGCGGCTCAGTGTCTTAGAAGCGTGACATCATGATAAGTTTTTTTAAATGTCCTCGCAATTTTAACGCATTTTCGTGCAGTAGGTGCAACTAAAGATTGAAACGTAAAATATTATCCTCAATCGTCTTCCAAAAAGCACAAGTTTAAAAGCATTTCTAATTCCAGACTCACGTAGCTACCGCTACAGTTAGTGAACGTATAGGAACATGTAAGTCGCATAACCCTAACTAATCGCCAAATATGTCTTGTGCAACATAAATTGCTGTTTAAGGTGTTTGGAATTTGTACTCTATAAATACATTATTAGGTAAGAAATTGCAACCAATGTGTTTATGGTTGCTTACATTAATTGAGTTTTCCAAAATTGGAACCAATATTACGAGTCCGCAATACCCAGTCATGCAGAGACAAAATTTTAAGTTCAAATTGTTATTAGCACCGGCACTTCTCTTGTTATTAATAAACTTAGATTATTGACTCGACTTATCTCGATTTTCAAGAAGTATCGTTTTGTCCGACATACTCTTACCATGCATGAAATGGCTTGAGGTAGTCTATAATCATAAAGTGAACTGTAATTCCAGTTGTCGCATTAATGTTTTATAATGAATTAAAATTTTAAAAATTTATGTTTTGAAATTAATGTTTTATATTTTAAAAGGTGCAATGGCTTAACAATGAGTTACGGCGCTGATGGTCGCGGGTTCGAATCCCGCACGAACAACTATTTGTATGGCCTACAAGTAATTGTTTCTGGACTGTACGTTAGTTTTTGAAAAATTTATCCATGTAAACTGCCTCCACGATGCAAGATTAAATGTGGGATAATTTTTTTAAATACTATGAAGCAACCAACTATATATCCCAAATATTTGCTTATACCTGTCAGGTTTCACCTTTGTTTGAAGAATCGCTGAGCCATTATACTCATGTCATCATCATTTTCTTCATCATCAACCGTAAAAGGCCACTCGGGAACATGAGCCTCTCCTTTGGCTTGGCAGGGGGATTAACGATTCCAGTACCATATGACCACTAATCAGTCTCTTGCACGCTGCTCTCCGTCGCTGCTCAGGGTATTTATTTTACTGTCTGATAAGAACGGGGTGGGTGTACCGTCATCTATCGAAGCAAGAAATGAGGTATTTCTGGTATTAATTATAGTCCCCTCTTACGAAACCCACGGCTCGTAAAAATGGTTTAAGTATAAAAGTTACAGCCTATATACGTCCTACTGCTGGGCACAGGCCTCTTCTCATTTCTGAAAGGGTCTTAAGGTTTAAGTATATATATCACACATAGGTTTAAGTATATATATCACATATTAGCTTTTCGATGATCACGCTAGTTGAGGTACTGCAAAAAATATTTAGGTATTTGGGAATGCAAATTATTACTGGTTTTGAGGTCTGGAAACTAAATTTCTCAATGGCTCTGTTATTTCATTAAAGCTTGCTTCTAAAACGTTTGCATAAACGTATGCCTCGGAGAAGGTAGCCCAACACGAATGGGTTGTTCTGTGTTTAGCCCACTTACCGTACCTTCGTAGTAATGACATACCTTCGTTTACGACTTACCTATATTTCCAGATCGGTTTCTTTTAAATGCTTTATAATGTGTGATAGTTGTCGATCTAGAATTATGATTAATATCCAACTAGTAGAGGGTATCCGACAGAAATGGGGTAGATACGGATTATGAAAAATGATGTGGGCATTAAACTATGATATTGCATTTTATGTTCGAACCTTGGTACTATCTACATTCTCGTACCTAACGGTTGATAAAATGGTGTCTAGCTGTGACAAATTGAGACACTGTCACCGAACAAATGATAGATTATAATGGCTACCGACTTGCTTCTCGACGTTGCAAAAAGCAAAACGTCATTTGTCAAAGTTACGCGTGCAATTCACAGCGGTGCTTTACTTTTATCTTACATTACTGTGGTTTGTTAAATCTGGTACTCATATCCCAATCTTACAACGACATAGATGTGCAAATTCATAAACTCATGGCCAAGTAAGAAGTCTTCAAGAATATAAATTAAAAAGAAGTAGTCAAGTATCGCATTCAAATATATTTTGTGTACTGCATATTTTATAAACGTACTGGTCAATAAAGGGCATAGCTTATGATAAACGAAATATTTTATGATGTAACGTAATCTCTTTGTTTAGGACTATTTTGTTAAGAGAAACCTAAATTATTTGTTGATTTTTTTCTGTATTTTAGGTACTAATTTATACACATCTGAAAATACTCATTACTTTGACATGCGTATAAATTAGTACCTAAAATATAACGATCTATGAAAATAAAACGTCTTCTAGCCACAGTCTATTTCTAATTATCCTAATAGGATATTTTTATTTTTTATTATTTGTCTTACTTTATAAAATTATTAATAGTTATTTTTTATTTTATCTGGGTACCTTATAGACCCTTTCAAAATTTTCTGATATACCAGGTTTGTCTATTATTGAGATATATGTACAAATATATGTATATTTAACTCAGTGATAGATAAATTATTGAGTTATACCTAAGAGTTGATGAGACATCTGCGTAAATAATTCCTCAAAATATCCTTTTTTGGTTTCTTAATCTTAAATATACGTAGAATATTTTTGTGATGATGAAGATGCTTTGAAATTATTTGTTTGAGTAATCACATATTACATAAATACAATATGATAATATAACAAATGTTATAACTGTTACTAGACACTATTATGTATATATACTAATAGGCAATTAATTGAAAAAAAAAGGTTTTAATTGTTTAATGTCTTAGAAATTAGAAAGGAGCAGACTTCGTCTAAAACAAGTTTAGCTTAATATGTTCTCAATGGTTTAAGATCATCCCCTTCAGGCTTTGCACCCATCTCCCAAATACCCTTTATTACTCTACATCATATGATGCACGAAACGTTAATTAAAGTTCTTTATAAATTCCACTGTGACATTTCGATTCGATATCCATTACTTGATATAGTGGAACTAAGTTGTTGTTACGACGTAAGCAAAAGTTCAAAGATTCATTTATAAAATTGTAACTTCAAATACTTTAACTTATTTTTACAATATTAGTTTGCGGTACGTAGGTACTTATTTTTCATAGTTTTCTCATTTAACGGTTTTAAAAGCTTTAAAAACAAAGTTGAAATGTTAAGAACGCAAAAAAATAAATAATGTTTATCTGTAAAGATAAAATAAGGGTGACGATCAAGCAATGTGGGAGAGGGGTTTTATAAGATGATTTTATAAGATTTATTTTCCTTTATTTGAAAATTGTTTTAAGAGTTTTAATTATCAATATTTTATTTACAGGTACAAAATGCTGAAGTGGGCAGTGTACAAAAAGAATCAAGAAGGTCAAACTAATATTAATTCACAAACTGAAAACCAAGATCTTAATTCAAATAGACGGTATGAGGACAGATCAAGAAGATCTTTGGATGGACAAGCAGTTAAAAAAAGTAAGAAACCTAGTCGTTACCAAAGACGGTCTATTGGAACTACAGCCAGGAAAAATAATAATAAAAACGTAGATAAAGAAAATCTTAATTTTATAGGCAACACTCCTAATTATTATAAACCTGGTTTTATAAAAAACACAGAAAATATTATCTTGAAAGATGTTAGCAATATTACTCCTACATCTGTAACTCCTGTTAAAAACTTTGAAAATTTTAATTTCTATCGTGATGATGCAAGATATGAAATACCACCTGAGCTGCCTCCAACTCCACCATCCTACAGTAGAAGAGTAAGAGAGGCGAAGAAAAGAAAATTGGAGATGAATAGTTTAAATAATAGCGAAGGTTTTATAAGAAATAGTTGCACTTACAAATCTGAAAGGAGAATTAAAAACGTAGACAGAAGTGTTTTATGTTCCCCAAAAATGAGTCACAGTACTTCTGAGCCATCTTTAAACGAACTTTCAGACAGGCTCAGTGCAACAACTACAAGTAGCAAAAGTTCATTAAGTATAGATAGATACAAAAACAAAAGTAAACCTATTTGTACTACAAAAACTGCAAGTGAGGGTATAGCTGAAATAGAATACGACAAAGATTTAGTAATAAACTGTTTAGAAAAACCAATAATTATCAATAAAAATGAAATAGATAAATCAACTTTACCCATATTTGGTCATAGCCTTTTCATGGATAACCCTGTATATTTAAATAAGAATGATAATAATCCTCTTAATATAAGACCTTTAAAACGAACTAGGAAAAAATCAAATGACTTTGAAAGTTGCTTTAAATCTCCATCAGTAGATAAAAAAGATGCACATACTCTCGTTAGACATGGCTGCTCTCCGGTGTCCATAACTCCCTTGTCAGTTAAATTGGAGGCTTTAAGGTTTAGCACTATGAGTACACATAACGTGAAAAGTAAAATAACTCCATTAAACGATGTTACACAATACTTTCCTAAAATTGAAAATCCTTTTAATATTAACTTAAAAGACGAAGAAAGCTCAACAGAAATGGAAAATAAATTTATTTTAGGCAAAGATTCATTAACAAATGCCTCGGAATCTACAGTATCAACTACTCAAATGGGGGATGTTACTCTAGAGAAAATGATTGAAGATATTATAAAAAGCACTAAAATAGTTAAATCTAAGAGGCGAATCTTAAAAAATATTGCAGATCCGCAGCTAACAGTTGAAGAAGAAATGCCTCATATAGACACTGTTAAAGATTTATTTGTAAAACCTCAGGCTGAACACAAGTCATGTTTAATCAAAGAAGCTAAATATGTAAATCTATCTCGAGAGAGCTCTATATCGCCCAAAAATACTCCAACTAAGAAAATGTTGCCTATTCATAGAGTCAATGATAAACTGTTAAAGAACGTTCCAATAGGATGTTTTCTATTAGATGATGGAGATGGCTACAACGAAAGGGAAGTCCGTACACCTGATAAATTTGAAGATACGAATTTATTACTAACAAATCCTACTATCGATGCAAATAAACTATGCAGATCTTATTCAATGAATAATTCATGTATTCTTAAAAGTAATCGAGAAAGCTCAATATCAGAATCAACGCCGGATTTATTTAATACTTCAAATGAAAGAAATATAAGATTAAGAAGACAAAGATGTATTCGCAAAAAAAAACTTACAGTGAGTAACGAAAGTCTATGGAAGCAAAAACACACTGAAGGAAACTCACCTAAATCATCACTACTACGTACTCTGGAAATGAGTATACCTAGTCCCGCGTTAGACTTGCAAAACGTATCGTTATGTGAGCCTTTAAATTCTCCCTTAATAGTAAACCAGACAAATGTACTCACAGAAAATGAAAATTTACGTAACACATCGGTTCTAAAAAATGTTTCACACAGTAGTTTAAATTCTTATGAACAAATTACTCAAAATATGAAAACTAGAGAATTATTTGGATTGACTTTAGCAAACGGTATACCGAGTCCTATCACTCCAGCTGTGAGTCTGAAGCGACAAAGCAACGTTCTAAGTGACGAACGAGCTAGTAAAACAAGCAAATTAGATGAAGATTTAATACCAAATGATGCTCTTACTCCTGTTATAGAATATAAGTCGTCAAGAAGATGTCTAACGTATTCTCCAGAGGAAAGTAGTATAAATAGTAGCGAGGAAAAACGTAGAAGTGTTGCTAGTAATCGCTTAGAACGAAGCACAGATAGATTTCAAGCCTTAAAAGCGACTATAGATCTCGAAATTAAGACTAAACAAGACATAATAGACGTTCACGGTGAGTGGTGACTATCAACTCTCATTTTTATCGTATTTTGTATTTCATTAAATCAAATTTTACATAATTCCTGACTTGTACATATTTTCTTTCAGTTGTTCGGTGCCGAGACCTTCAGAAATCATCTGGAAAGACAGAAGACATTAACGCTTATGCAAAGGTAATTTTAATTTCATATTATATATTTATTATTTATAATGGAATGAAACCAAAACTATGAAAGAAATTAATTGTTAATATAATATTCCCTGTAAAATATTACAACTGAAAAGTATAGAAAACAAATATTTTATAAGATGTGCTTTACCGATACTTACTATAATATATTGCTTAGGTCGTCATCAGCGGTGTAAATGAAAACCAGTCGTTACCGTCGCAGAGATCAATTTTCCAAAGAACATCGGTTCTTTATGGAAAAAGAGAGCCAGAGTTCCAGCGACACCTGAAACTGCCTTTACCGACTGCAATCTACGACCATCAAATACTACATGTTTCTGTTTGGCACAGAGACAAGAAGTATAGGTAAGAAACAGTCTAATTTTGAATAATTGTAGAAATGGAGATGGAAGAAATGAAAGTGTTTTAAATAAAGCACTCTTTGTTTTAGCAAGCCTTAAATCTATTTAATACTTACTTAAACATTCTGTTTTCTGTTTAATGAACGTTAAAAACTAGGATTTTCTTCTGTATCGTGGGAGCAGTTTACATACATTAAATTCTCAAGGACAAACATCCAGCCCCGAAACAATTATTTGTTGGCCATACGGATACATGCGTGCGGGATTCGAACCCGCGGTCCTAATCATTGCAACTTTTTGCTAATCCACTGCGCCACGGAGACGTCTTACACTACATCTTTACGATTTACATTTTGTGACACATTTTGTTAGCCCGAGTTGGAACATATTATTTTTAGCTTTACTCTTTTTTATCTCTGTATAACTTCAAAATACCTGGTTGTGTTCTTAACTACTGCAGTAAACACTTCAGAACATCAAAAGTGTTTGTTAGTTATCTGGTTTTCCGCGTTGTTACAATGCTCACGAGAGTCGGGCAAAATGTAAAATCTATGGGAGCGACTTGTTGGACACTACGTTGAACGATACGCGTAAGCACCATAAAATTCCTGGCGCTTATGACGTTTTGGTCACGAAAAAACTAATTTCTAATGCAAACTTGCGTTGCATGTTTTAATAGTTTGGTTAGACGTCGTAACTATTATTTTAGCGCTGCAGCGAACTTTAGTTCCAACTCTTACCAAAATGAAGCAAACTTTTGGTTCGGGGTGTCTGTTCTATACGCTAGTAATTCAGTTCGATACCCCACAGTAAGACTTTCTCCTGTATTGTGGAAGCAGTTTAAGCAGTTTAAGGACAAACGTCCAGGGACCCGGAACAGTTATTTGTAGTATAATGAAATGAAATGAATTATTTTTATTCTATATAGATTATAGCATAATACTTATTGAGAGTCATTTTTTTGTTTACCACATTTAAAAAATATTTGTAGTCGATACTACTTGTTCCATGCTAGATTCGACCCGCGGCCGTCAGCGTAGCAGCTTCCACTGCGCCACCGAGCCGCCATCTTTACCTGAAGTGTCCTTTGTTATGAATATTCGACTTTTCGAACCCACGATATCTGGTCGGCAATTTTTGGGCTTGTTCCATTTTTCATGTGAAAATTCCTAAATGTATCCATCTCATGAGACCAATAACGGGTTCCGATCCTCATCTCGCCAAGCCTACGTGATATGGCCACGTTAGACCAGCCCTCCACAACAAACCAACCGCGTGGGTTCCTCTTGATTCACCGAAGATGAACAAGCCACGCCTACCAAACATAGTATTTACTTATAGGAAATTTTCTAAATAAAAAATAGAGTAGTTTCTCGAACCTAAAATAATTTTATATTCAAAGACGAAGCTAAATCATACTGAAATATTTAAATCCGTGACCTTCTTTTATTGGTTTTCTAAAAATAAATCATACTTTTATTATCGAATGTAATATAGAGGATAATAAAGGTTAAGTTCGATACTGCTTTAGAAAAGCCACTTAATTTAACGTACATATTTAAAAATAAAAGTACTTAAAAAGTGGAGGAGGTCGGTTCATAATTCGATTTTTTTACCCGACTGCTCCAACCGCATAGTGACGGTGTAAGAAAGAATATGTATAATCAAAATGTGCCTTGACAGGTGACCGAAGCGCAACAGAGGGGGCAACTGAAAAGATGGGTTGCTGCCCTTTTACACTGCATCTTCCTGCTAATAGCTAAATAAAAATAACAAGTTGCGGTTGCTAGCTCACGTGCCAAGCGTGGCAACTATGGCAGAATTCCCTGAGGCAATCAAATGGGGAAGGCCTGTGCTTAGCAGTGGAATTTTACAGGCTGTAATGGAAATGTGACATAAAAAACACTTCTAGGGGTGAAAAATAGGGAAAGAAATTTTCAATGTAGCTATTTAGATAATATTCTAGTCGTTAACTTGAGATTGTGTATTCCTTCGTCTACTCAAAATGATCCGAAAGAAAAGAAAAATCTTACTTTATCCCACTTTAAATATTTTGGACACTATTTTATAGCACAATTGTGTGGAAGCTATTTAATTCTTCTTTTTTTTCATTTTAATTAAATATATATTTTTTGCTAAAAGTGCTTTAAACAGAATCATGATGACATATTATACGAATTTATATCAAGTTATCCCGACCACGTCAAAATCAATTGGAGCAAAGATCATCTTATTTGGATTGCAAATCCTCTCATCGGTTACTGGCATCACCTTCAAAGAGGGCTCGTCGGTGTATGAAATTTTTTCTCTTTTTCCTGGTGTATTTCGTTCTCATACATAAGATATTGGGGGTGGAATGACGCGAACGCGAGAGACTATGCGCACAACGATCGATCTCCACACAGCGCAACCCGGGCGGGCAGTCGTTACTTGAACCCTCGCCCGTGAGTGTCCATTTTGAACGTGCCCCGCTGTTTTAAAATTTACGCATAGAACACCTCTTCTATAGTTGTGTTGTGTACATTCGTGCTTGTGTGTTGTGTGTGCGGATTTTTCTTATCTTTCGACTCCAGTGCAGTAGTTAGGTGTAATTGGGTAAGGGTTCTGATAGTTAGATGATCGCTTGCATTGCAATTTGTATTTATGTGATAACGCGTTACTAAAATCGTTTAATATTTCTTTGTTTAATTATTTTGAATTTTATTACATTGATCATATATTTCTCGAATAGCTTAAATGTATATCTATACTGAATGCAAGTTTGTTATTTTCTATCATCAATTTTATTATTAGTTCGTATTAGTGATTATTTTTAAATTTTTAACGATTTTGTTGTTATTTATTTTAAATATGGTAGAGAAAACTTGCAATAATTTGATGGTAGATCACATCAAAGAAATCACATAATATTTTAACTATTTATCCTATAATCATTCGTTTAATAGTTAACTAACTAACTTAACTAACCCTATTATGGGCCAGTAATTACGAATGTATTATCTTTTAAAGTAATTAGAAATCTTTATACATTTTTACTCTGCAAATGATGGTTACATTAATGAACTGGGAATTAAAAGAAAGGGGAATGAAAGTGAACGCAAGTAAGACGAAGGTGATGGTTTTTGAAAGAGAAGAAAGCAAAACGGTATGTGAAATAAGAATAGAAGGAGAGTTAATTGAGCAAGTGGATGAGTTTGTGTATTTGGGATGTGTATTTAGCAGGGATGGTAGATATGATAGGGATATAGAACGACGAGTAAATGCAGGGAATAGAGTGAATGGGGCACTACACTGTATTATGAAGAACCAGAATGTGTCAAAAAAGGCACGTATGGTAATTCATAATGCTGTGTTAGTCCCTACTTTAATGTATGGTAGTGAAAGCTGGGTGTGGCAGAAGAAGCACGAAAGTAGAATAAATGCTGTAGAAATGCGGTCTTTAAGGAGTATGCTAGGGTTGAATGATGACAGGGTGATAAATTGCATGTTAAGAGATAAATGTGGTATGCTGTGACCAGGATTAAGAAAGGAATGCTTCGGTGGTTTGGTCATGTAGAAAGAATGAATGAGGAAAGAGTGACAAAGCAAATTTATATGGCAGATGTGAACGGCAGAGTCGGGAAGGGACGCCCTAGAAAAAAGTTTATCGACCAAATTGGCGATATTTTGAAAAGGGGCCACGTTAGAAGTACCCTTAACCGACGAGCATGTATGCGTAGATATATGGATGTAAAGGAGGCGAAAGAGGTATGTCAGGATCGTGCCAAATGGAAGTCCGTAGTCTCTGCCTACCCCTCTGGGTGACAGGCGTGAGTGTTTATGTATGTATGTATTTTACTCGGTAGAGCCATGCGGTAGCACGCGTGGGTAATCGACCGGGGAAAGATATAGAAAGATACCAGCGTGGAGTGGCGGCTAATTTAGATTTGTTTCTTATGGACTCTCCGTAGAGAAACTGAGACAATTTTTACTGGAAACGAGACATTCCATATCAACCAACCACAGGGGTGGCGCATTTGCATTTTGATTTTAAACAGAGTTAGATATATAGAGCCACAGCATCCACTTACCATCAGGTGAACTGTGTGCTCTTTTATCACCCTTATTTTATATAAAAAATCTTTACCACTATATTAATTGCAATATTGTTTATTAGGAAATCAAGTAGCTGCTTCCAATTATTTTTCGTTTAAAGTATATTAAAGTATACTTTACGTATGTTTTAAATTTCCATATTACATGAGATTTTCACATTTTTGAGGATGTAAAAGTCACAGACTACTACATTTTCGACGTTTAAGTGAACCATATTTTATTGCATATCTTTTACTACATAGCTTATAACCAAAGGATCAACATTTCAGTCCTTATAATTATGTTTATAATACCCTTTTCAAAAATAATTTGGTAACTGAATTATGAAAAACAAAGAGTGCCTTAGTTTGAAATATGTCATAATGCATCGAATTGAAGCAGTGGTGTGTCATCATTTAGACTTCTGGCGTTTGGCCAACTTACAAACACTTCGGAGGTTGATATCTTGTCGAAAGTGACACGTACACTTCGTCCTCATCTCTGCGACTTTATATTAATACAAAATATACGAAGTCTGATGTATTCGATTTTTTCATGCGTCATCCTCATCCTACCTTTAAAATTAATCTTTTTTCTATTTCTGATACGATTCAAATAGAATTGTGTACCACCAGCAACGTAAAGTCAGGCATTTGCATTTACAAAAAGCCAAAATTAGGTACACAAAAATTTTCCCCGCAACGTACTTTTGAAATTCGCGTGTTAGCAAAACGTACCGGTAGCAACACAGTGACGATAATAAATAAAGGATAAATATTAATAGTAAGGATTTAAGTGCTAATTAAGTATTGCAAGTACATGCAATAACAAGGCACTAATAAAAACAGAGCAGACGCAAAAATCAGGTCTTCTAAAAATCAGAATGGAATCAAAATCAGATATGAATTAATTTGATAGTTAAGTGCTAATTAAGTAATTTGAAAAACACAACTCACTTTTTTACACAGGAATATTGACACAGTTATTTCTGCAACGGCTTCAGCGCTAAAGGAAGTACAGATCAATTCCACCTGCACCCATGCTCACCTCCACAGGACCTGCCTCGGCCGCTACGGCTCGCACAGATGCCTACAATTTGCTACAGCTGCGGGAGCTGCTCTCTCTCCGCGCCTACGTCTTTACAAAAACACTCTAGGGTTAGGACAGACAGTACTAAGTGGAGTCAGTCGGTTTTAGTACAGATTAGATAGAATCTTATCCATAATATATAACTGATAAAGAACACAAAATGCCATTCATACCTTATAGTATTGTAAAGTCCAATAATTAATAATATAATTATCCGATAATTCCCAGAATATTACGGAAATCTACATCCGAACTCAATAATTTTTCAGTACATAATTAGCACTTAATTCCTTGCTATAAATATTTATCGTATATATTATTGTCACTACGTTAGAAACGGGATACGCGATACGTTTTGCCAGCAGCGCAATTTCAACTGTTCGTTGCGGTTGAACTTTTAGACCACCTAATTTTTAAACTTGTCATCTAATTAGCACCAAAAAAACCCTAATTTTGGCTTTCTCTAAATGCAAATTCCTGACTTTGCGTTGCTGATGAAACAACTGTCAAATATATATTAGCGGACAAATTCATAATCTTGGCGACTTTCGCTACAAATTTCTATATCCATGGAACATTTGAAATGAAGGCAAGAGTGAAAAAATGTATTCAAAGTCGGATAGCCATCCTAAACCTTACTTCCACTTGTTCAGATGCGATTTTTGTGTATAATATGGGGTTACAAACGAGAACACAGTCTATCTGATAGTAAATCGATGATGTGGCCCATAGATGTCTACATTTATCCTCAATTAAAAATCAAAATTCGTTGTCACCCCTAAGAGGACTAAGATGGAATGTCCCGTTTTCAGTAAAAGGGTCTTCGGTTCTCTACACTCGCCATACGAAACATAGCAGCATTAAGCTGATATTTTACGCTGGTATTCTGTGAGAGCGTGGTCCTTCCCCGCTCGAGCCGACCTATTTGTGCTACAACCTTAATATAGCTGCTGCATGGTTCTATCACGTACGAAACATTAACCAAATGCTATATTTACCAAAATCGATACTTATCCTTTAACTAGTTTGATATAGAACAACCAAGAACAATTTTGTTTGGTACATCAGATGTAAATCAAAGATGGTTGCGAAATAATTTCATTGATGTCGTTCAATTAGTCAGTAGTACTTTTAGTTTTACTCTTTGTTATAACGTTATATTTACGTTTATTAACTATATGCTTTTTATTTTCTATTACTGGTGCATCTAAATTCTGATCATTGCTCGTAATTTATGGATTACGACTGGTGTGACGAAAGCCATAGAACTATTTACTGGCAACGAGGCTGTAGTTTCATTGTAGACCAGGACATATCTAAATCAATAGATAAAAAGATTGATAACTCTTGATTGCAACTTTTTAACTTTGAACATAAAATAGTATACACGATGGTCATACCATTATGAACGACTTCTGCCTGACAGACTGAAGGAAACTATTAATTTTATATTTAAAATAGATAGAGATAGATAGATAAAAAATACTACTTACTCGTATATTGGACATAAAAATAAACTACACTAATACTAAATTATATAATAAATATTGATACGAGTATATTATAAAGTTACACAAAATACAAAATATAACAAGAAATTATGTAATAAAGTAACAGGTACTACATAAATCCTAGATAGGCCTACGTGCAACCCGATAGAATCAGAATTAGCGGTCAGAGTCTACGGATCTTAGCTAATTCTAATTTAACATCTTTTATAATAGATTTTTGCAAAGGCACGCCTGATTCTATTGATTGTCTAAAACCTACATACTATCTACGACGCGTAAGATGAAATGTGTGTTGAGCGGAATGGAAATGTCTCCGGTTCACCTTATTCACTTTAAAAAATACAGCAGCATAGTGCTGCTATTGCACTCTCGTATTCTTTGTGAGCGTGGTCCTTCTTCGACCGAACGAACTCATTCGTGCTGCAGCGTAGCACTACCACATAAAATCATGAAAATATATTTTACTTTTATAAGTATCATTATCATCATCATTACAGCCCTTCACAAGTTCCACTGCTGGACATAGTCTCTCCTGAGTAATGCCAAAACATTTTCCTAGCCATCTGGATCCGTCAACTGTGTACATGTGTTATTAAGTCGTCGCTACATACAGTGTGGGGCCGCCCTACCCTTCGCTTACTTATTTTTTCCCCATCAGTTTCCCCAGCTACATAGCTGGCCCATTGCCACTTCAGCTTACTGATCCTTTACAATATGTCGACTACTTTGGTTCTACTACGGATATCCTCTTTATGAAATCCGTCAAGTAGTGAAACTCCGAGCATAGCGCACTCCATAGCTCGCTGAGTGACCTTGGGCTTCCTCATACGGTCAGTAGCGTAGGAACAATCATGTGTAGAAATATACGTGACAAGAACATGTAATCTCCTGAACGCTGCCGAGCCGAGTTAGATCCGTCAA